TCTGGGCAGTGCCTTTAAGTGGGAGGAGGGGGCACCTTCCTTCTTTTCTTCCCTTCTGCTGACTGAACTGGGGAAGGAATGGCTGCTACCGTAATAGACCATGTGGAAAAGCATCACACCCTATGGCTGGGAGATGTAGAAAACTGGAAGAGACAACTTTGTGGAACTGCTGACCTTACTGGTATAAAGCCCAATGCGCATATCAGTACTCCCACAAATGGCAAGATGACCTGTGCCCGTGGTAACTCTCTCCAGGGGAAACAGAGCTGACACTGATCAACTAGTTTTTTCACTAGCAGAAAGTTCTATTAAGCCACTAAGTGGCAGAAAGATTGTCAGGATAAATGACTTCCACCGGAGAAATGCCTAGAAGCCACTGATCTCCTTGAACACTCCTAACGCAGCAAGAACCCTGACTGACATGTTCTTATTCCTGGTCAAGCCATGAATTCATGATTTAGCTCCCCACGGATTCTTTCACACACGGTACTGGATTGGACCAGTGGCTATGGTCAACCTGGTCACAGTCCTGCCTTACACTGAACACCTAAGCAGCCTGCCCCTAACCAACTTTGTACCAATTTAATTCACCAGAGTAGAGGCACCTTTAACTCTGTAAAGGACAGAGGGGGACTAGAAAGAAGGTAAGAGCAGATCCAACTAACACTGGCTGCTGCATGACGGGAATCATGTGAATATTTCCAAACATCCTATCTCACCAAATCTGTATGACTATCCTTCCACGAGGAGAGCATTTTATTGAATCTAAGATGATTACATATGTTACATACAGATTGACTCACACTGGATTATTTCATTTTCTATCACTTCATCCATAAATACATCAGAATGAACTTCTGAAAGATAATAGCTTTAAAAAATGAAGTAACATCAAAACCATTATCACACCTAAAAAATCCACATTAATTCCTAAATACCATCAAATACCCCAACTGTTTCCTAAATGTCTTTTTATAGTTACTTTGGATAAGGATCCAAATAAAGTATACATTTTATTTGATGTGCCTCAAATCTATTAATTCATAGGATACCCCTCCTTTTCTCTGCAATTTATTTGTTAAAGAAACTCGGTTGTTTGTCCTGTAGAGTTCCCCACATACAGGATTTTTGTGATTTCATCCCCCTGGTGTCAGTTACCGTGTTCCTCCACCCTCGGTACTTCCTGCAAACTAGTAGTTCTAACTGGAGATCTGATCAGATTTGGGTTCAATCCTTTGACAAGGGTATCTCATAAATGGTGGTGTGTTCTTCCCTGCTGCATCTTTTCGTGGCATGGAGATGGGTCAGTGAGTTCAGATGTGGTCAGCCTGACCTGTCCCAGAACTGTCCCCAGCAACTCCTCATCTGGTCGGGTTAGTGGCCAGTGACCTTTGCCTAGGCCCAGTGTATCCTTAGGGACTGCAAATGAGGACTTTCTTTTTATTTTAAAAGGGATAATTCATACAGAATGGAATTTATCCTTTTAAAGTAACAGGTGCGAAGAGTTTTGACAACTGTACAAAGTCGTGTAATCATCACATTAGTCAAGATGTGAACTGTCTTCTGTCACCCACAGAGTTCTGCAGTAAATCCCTTCCTTCTGTCCCCATTTCCTGGCAACCAAGGATCTGCTTTCTGTCCCTACAGTTCTGGGTTTTCTAGAACACCACGTAAGTAGAAATCTCACACTGTGTAAGGTTTTGTGTCTGGCTTCTTTCCCTTAGCAGGGTGTCCCCGTGTCTACTTCTATTCCTCTTTGTTAAGGAGTAGCACTGAATGTACGGTTAGAACCTCAATTTGTTTATCCAGTCATCAGTTAGTGACATCTGGGTTGTTTCCAGTTTTGAGCTGTCATGAATAAAAGTGCTATGCATGTTACTGTGCAGATTTTTGTGTGGGCTTGTTTTCAATTCCCTGGTAATTGGTTAGAAGAGCTCTCTATGTATAAGAAACAGCCAGCTATTTTTCAAAATGGCTGTACAATTTTCATTTCTGCCAACAATGTGTGAAGGTTCTAATTGTTTTATGTCCTCAGCCTTATTCGGTAGTCAGTCTTTTTAAATTTTAGATATTTTAGTGCCGGTACAGTGGTAACTAACTATGGTTTTAATTTGCATTTTGCTGGTAACCAATGTTTTGAGCATCTCGTCATATGCTGATTGGCCAATCCTACATCATTTTCAGTGAAGTGTTTCTTCAAATCTTTTGTCTATTTTTACATCAGATTGTTTTCTTATTGAGTGGCTAAGAATTCAAATGATGCTCTTATTCTGTAATCCTTGTCCATTTAATAGATGCACTTTTTTTTTTTTATTTTATTTATTTATTTATTTGTCAAAGAGAGAGAGTGAGCGCACAAGCAGCCAGAGTGGCAGGCAGAGGCGGAGGGAGAAGCAGGCTCCCTTCTGAGCAAGGAGCCCAATGCAGGACTCGATCCCAGGACCCTGGGATCATGACTTGAGCCAAAGGCAGCGGCTTAACTGACTAAGCTACCCAGGCATCCTGATGTACTTCTACAACAAAGTTTTTTTCAATAATTATTTGGTAACTCTGAGGTATAATTTGTACAGGGAACAGAATAAATGTTTTATTCTTCTTTTCTATTTGCCAATTTTATAAATAATGATTTGGTTCCATAGCATTCTCCAAAAGGGACCATTAAGCTTCTGTTGAGATTATCATTATGACTTCATAGATTTTAAGTTTTCATGATAACTTTATTCTTCTTGGCAATCAAATTATCCCATCTAGTGGGAGACCTTTCAGGTTGTTTCTTGAGTCTTTCTGACATCAGTTTCTGGCTCCTTTTAACACATTTTCTGCCTGTGTAGGAAGAGTTTGGCCTTACGCACAGAGAGGTCGGGCCTCTAGGAGGTAATCTCAATTCTCAGAGGTAATATCACATCTGACAGACCTGTCTTTGTTCCGGATAGATCTTAAGATGGGTCAGGCCCCACTTGATGGTCTTAGGGTAAGAGCTGACCATGCCTCCTCCCCACTGCCCCCCCCACAAAAAAACCCCAAGCATGTGATTTAGGGTGGGAGCTTTGGGTCATGTGGTCCATGTCAAACTGGAGATTGAGATCAACCATGTGAGCAATTAATCAATTATGCCTAAGTAATGGAATCCCAATAAAAAACTTTGAATACCAAGGCCTGGGTGAGCTTCCCTGATAAGCTGGGTGGGTAATGTATCCTGACTCCACGGGGAGGAGACGACAGAATTTCACGTTTAGAACCCTCGCAGACAATGCCCTTCATGCCTTTACTGGGGCTGATTTTAATCTGTGCTTTCCCTGTAATAAACTGTAACTGTCAGTATCATAGCTTTCTGTGAATTGTATGAATTTGTCAGTGACTTACGGAAGCAGAGGGTACTTTGGGGAATTTCCTGAATTTGCAGCTGGTGTAAGAAGCTAGAGGGGCGCCTGGGTGGCTCAGTGGGTTAAGCCTCTGCCTTTGGCTCAGGTCATGGTCTCAGAGTCCTGGGATCAAGCCCTGCATCAGGCTCTCTGCTCAGCGGGGAGCTTCCCCCTCTTTCTCTGCCTGCCTCTCTGCCTACTTGTGATCTCTATCTCTCTGTCAAATAAATAAATAAAATCTTAAAAAAAAAAAAAAGAAAAGAAAAAGCGAGGGCAGTCTGGGGACTGTGACCTCTAACTTGCTGTCTGGTGAACTCCAGGCACTGCCTCGGATCCGCAATCAGTTATTTTTCTAAGGTTCTTGGTCTTCTTTTAGTGAGAAGTGGTATTTATATATCGCAATCTGGATGCCAGGGGCACTCACTGCTACCAAGTGGGCGGTCATCATTTCTAGCACTTTTCCATGAACAGAGCTGGAAAAAGCTTTCCTTTTTCTTTCTTTCCTTCCTTCCTTTCTTTCTTCCTTTTTTTTTTTTTTTAAGAGAAACTAGCATGGTTTTGTACTGATATTTCCAATTCAAATTTAGGATTATAGGTTTTTACTTTGATTTTATATCTGTGTCTCTTTGACACTGGAGATCAGGGTATTTTTAGCAAATAAACATTTACTTTGTGTTATCCTGTTATATAATAATTTCAGAAAAACATCAGTATTGTTGACAATATGATGACTGAAAACAATTTAGGATTTCTTGTTAGTTCTTTTGGGTACAGAGTCCGATTTCAGCTCACACGAAGAAGTTCCTTTATGTGCGGCTAAGCCATCCACTAAATGGCTTTTTAGGTCTATTTGTTTTGTTTTGCTTGATTTTTAAGGATTTCCTTTTCCCTCTATTTATTTAAGTTTGTTTTATATTTTATGTAAACCATATGCACAGTTCTAAGAGTCAAGTCTACAGAACGAGGTATATTCTGAAGTTACATCTAACTCTAATCACCCACAATCCTCCACCGTAGTAGGTTCTACATTCTAGAACCTACTACGGTGGAGGATTCTGAAGTCAGCATATTTATTGAATGCCTGTGTTATGGCTAAAGTGAATCTTAAAAATGCTTAAGATTAAATTCTTAAGGTTAAATTCCTCCTTTGTTTCTAAACTTTTAAGTCTTAGAGCTCTGTTGTGTGTGTAGAAACTGTAAAGGCAAACTTTAGTTCTACACAACTGAACTTGAAATACTTGCAAGTCGAATTTTAAAAAGAAATTTCCATTGACTAAGGACCATAATTAAAACAGAGATCCTCAAATAATGGACACTGATATCTCTCTCACATGGTGCCTCTGGGCAGTTGGTGCCTCTGGGCAGTTGTCTCCTGGGGTTCTGTGAACAAAGGCTTGACAGCGCTGCTGTAAGGGCTGCTCTCCTGTCCACACTCCCTGCCCTCTCCTTCAGGGTCTCAGAGCCCCCCCCCCAGTGCTGACCCTCAGCAGGGCTCCCACTCTCCTGCTCACCTCTGGGTGATTTCCTCCAAAGTCACAGTTTTATATTCCCTCCATCTGCTAAAGACTTACATATCCACATCTCCAGCCAAGACTTTCTCTTTAATACTGTTTTAAGAAAGATTACTCAAGAACTTACCAACCCATAGGTCCCATAGTTTCTGCTCTCGTTTTCCCACGTTTTGCCTCTTTAAGCAGTTCTTCAATTGCTTTCCTGATGGGGAGAAAAAGAGATTTGAGAGGCAGTCACTCCACCAAATTCTGAAAAATCAGTTCTTTCCACATATATGACCTAGCAGAATGACCAGCTTTTGAAGCATAAAACTTCAAAATTGGGGAGAAATTTTTAAAAGTTAAAACACATGGTTGATAGTTTTGAAATATAAATAACATTAAAAAGAAACTTTTTATATGAAGGGGAAAACACTGAAAATCAGACAAAATGACAAAGCACATCCATATTTAAAATGTTCAAATGCATTATTATTCTAAGAAATAATAATGAACCCAACAAGAATAAGAATGTTTCTGGCCCTTAGTGAGAGAGAAGTGCATACTATTTGCTCTGTTAACGGGGACTGCAGCTGATATAACATTTCCGGAGGACAGTTTGGCAACACGATAAAGAGCCTTCAAAATACCACATACCTGCTGACCTAGAAATTCTACTTTATCTACTTTATAGTGTGCATTGGGTAATTTTTTTAAAAAAGATTTTATTTATTTATTTGACAGAGAGACAGTGAGGGGGGAACACAAACAGGGGGAGTGGGAGAGGAAGAAGCAGGCTCCCTGCTGAGCAGGGAGCCGGATGCGGGGCTCAATCCCAGGACCCTGGGATCATGACCTGAGCTGAAGGCAGATGTTTAATGAATGAGCCACCCAGAAGCCCCGGATGATTTTTTTTTTTAAGATTTTATTTACTTATTTGAGACAGATTGAGAGAGAGAGAGAGAGAAAGAGAGCTGACTCCCTGCTGAGCAGGAAGCCTGATGCAGGACTTCACCCCAAGACCCCGAGATCATGACCTGAGCCAAAGGCTGACACTCAACTGCTCAATCAACTGACCCACCCAAGAGCCCTGGATAATTTTTATTTCAAATTTATTTGTATTATACAGGAAAACATTTGGAGGGGTATTATCAAGATGGTAAGATTTTCTGTGTGATTTTAAAGGTTTTTTTTTTTTTTTCCTGAATGCTTTTCTACATTTTCTATTTTTTCCAGAGTTAATCTGTGCTATTTGTGCCATTTTAAGAAAGATACTGGAAGAAAAAAAAAAAAAAAACTCCAGGAAATGTACTTATCAACCCTATTCTGAGATTTTACCATGTCCAAGGTACCGTGCAAGGTGCTATGGGTAATAGAATAGGAAGATGACCATTCCTGACTTTACTATCACTTATGCTATATAAGTACTAAAGTTAAGAAAAGAGAGGTATGGGGTGTCTGGGTGGCTCAGTGGGTTAAAGCTTCTGCCTTTGGCTCAGATCATGATCCCAGAGTCCTGGGATCGAGTCCCACATTGGGCTCTCTGCTCAGCGGGGAGCCTGATTCCCCCTTTCTCCCTCTCTGCCTGCCTCTCTGCCTACTTGTGATCTCTGTCAAATAAATAAATAAAATCTTAAAAAAAAAAGAAAGAAAAGAGAGGTATGAAGTTAGAAACAAATATAGTCCAAAGACAGAATTATATATCCAATCACAAAATTTTGGAACTGGTAATTATGCATTGATTCTATATAAAAACATTTAATTATGCTATTATAGCACTACTACAGATACAATTTACATAATCCTCCAATGATGTGAACATTCTATGAATATTTCATAATGATTCTCATTTTATCGAAGCAGATAGCTTAAAAAAGCAAGTATTATTTAAAGACTTATAATAAAATATAGCAGTTCTCTGCATCACCCTTCTCTACTCACCAAAAAAATTCAATCTCAACCCTTAAGAAAAATCTGCTTCTCCTGGTATTTACCTCTAATTTCTATTAGTATGCTGTCAAACTATTTCACCACCCTCTTGATCTTCAACAAATCTATTTTTGTATAATTTACACATTTTTCAATAAACTCCCACTAACAGTGAGATCTTAAAAAAAAAAAAAAAGTCTTTTCAGCTGACTCAGCAGCTGGACTCTCTCTGCTCCATCCTGGAGGGCCCACCCGACCATGTCAGCAAAGAACCAAACACTGACCACCTTAGGCACTGTCTGACGCCCTGGTCATGTTCAGTCAGACCGTGTTTCACAGCCCAACTTCCTGGTATCAGGAATAGGTAAGTGCATCTGCTTACCACAGATCATCAGTCCAGGAGGAAGACCCGGACTGCCCCACGGTCCCTCAAGCTGGACTTAGAATCAAACTGACATGAGACAGATTAACAGGAGAAAATCAAATTTAATAGTGTGCATAAGGGGAATCCATAGAGACAAGACATTTCAAAGACAGTGAGGCAATATGAATGAGCTAAGGAGACAGGAAGGACCTGAGGATACAAAGGGGAGGAAGGCATTTAGCAAGAAGATAAGAGGAGAAGTTTGGAAAAACAAGGTTGCTCTATTATGCAGATCAGTTTTGTAGGTAAAGGGGAGTCTTGGTTACCAGCTCTCTGCCTGGTACAGGCTCTTCTTTCCAAAGTAAATTTAGGCAGTTGAGGGGAAGGCAGGGAGTTTTTTCCTGGCATCTGTGAGGTTTTGATGAACTCAAAATGATTTTTACACCAAGTGGCCCATGTTGGGGCAGCCTGCCCTTGGCCTCCCCACATTCTTTCTCCCATCTCTTTACAATAATAATAATAATAATGATAATAAAATATCCTCTTGATGTGATCTGAGGGCCTTGTCTCATCCAGTATTTCATGAAAAATGCATCCTATCTAGTTCCAAAGATCCTTTTTCACCCTCACAGATGTAAGTTAAAAAATCAAAGGGTAAAAATATTCCCAAAACACCTCCTCCCCCTTCCCATCAGTAAGTGTGGTAGTTTCTAAATAAAAGCATGGACCCATCATACTTAGATCCGCCCATACTTAGATCTCTTCTCCTGACGGCAGAAAGTGAAAAAATCTTAAGGGAAAAAGCTTTTTGGGCAGCTCCCCAATTATGAACAAACTGTGTGTCAGTCACAAATAAACTAGAATGCATTTTCCCATAAAATCCATGGTAAAATGTTTCCCTAGCTCTCTTGGACCAGCCCACAAAAGCCCATTTGTGTCATAAGACAGCTGAAATGCTGCACATCTGCAGAAAACAATATTCAGTTTAAGACCTGGCAGAGATCACAAGCCCATATTCTAGGCACCTTCAAGACTTTCATGTTGATTCCCTTTTTTTTTTTTTTTAATTTGACAGAGAGAGAGAGAGAGAGAGAGAGCACAAGCAGGGGGAGTGACAGGGGGAGAGAGAGAGAAGCAGGCTCCCTACAGGCTCTATCCCAGGACCCTGGGACCATGACCCCAGCAGAAGGCAAACGCCCAACCAGCCCAGGCGCCCCAGAAGTTGATGTTTATATAGTTTTGATTTCATGTAAAACCATCTCCAGCACTGTCATTAGCTTTCTCTGCCATGATTTCAGAGATCCGATTTAATAACCACAGTCAAATAGAAGAGAAGGTATAGGTATGAGAAAGGGTGACAAGGTAGAAGGAATTCACTTGTGACAGAAGAGAGGGGCACGCTCAGTCCTTAGCAAGCATGGGAGGTGGGACCCCACTGCCCCACCTGGAGTGTAACCAAATTTGGTATTTGTGATTGGTTTAACACCAAGTAACGTTGGCATGGAGCTTTACTGTTGGCAAAGTGCCATCCTATCTGAACAGGACAACATAGTTATGGCGACTAGTTTACAGTTGAGGATAGTGGTACCCTGCCCAACTTGCCTAAGGCAGCACTGCTAGTGATCCTGGAGGAGGAGTAGGGGAGAGGGGACCAGGGAGGGAGAGAGGGGACAGGGAGAGGGAGGGGGCAGGGGAAAGGAGAGAGGGTGGAGGAGGGAGAAAAATCTGCCAAACAAAATGCCCCTGCACATGTTTAAAGGCTACACGTCCTCTGATCTTTTCCACAAACATTTGCACAGCAAGCCCTGAGGAATCGTTTCCCCTTAATCATTAAAGGCAAAAAATAAAATAAAGGGGGGGAAGGGAGGCCTAACAGAGCTGCCGCTGCGTCTGCACTCACTTGGGAGAACCGGAGAGGCGGAGGAAGGAAGGACTCTGCACTATTTTGTCCTAAGAATGTTGAGCATTTGCTACCACTTCCCACCCCAAATTCTCCTGCCCGAGCTCTGTCTGCAGGGCTTTACTTGCAAACAGGAAAAGAAAGATTCCTAGCAATCGTGCACTCGCTCAGCAATAACAACACCATCTTCAAAATTCAGGGGAGAAGAACGGAAAGTCAGGGAATTCTTTGGGGAACTTACTATGGCCCCTATTATTTCTCCTGGAAATCTGGCTCATGATTCTTGGGTAAGGAAGGAGCAAAGACAGCTTCTACTGCACATTGGCGTAGAGGCTTAAATCCTTAAAGATTATGAAACATCAACCCCAGGAAACAAGGTAGTTATTTAACAAGAGGATGAAATGCAAGTGTCAGCTGCATTAAAATACAGGAAAAGCAAACAGCAGGAGAATACAGAAGGGCTAAGTATTCAGAGAACTTGTGCAAGTAAACAATTATTGAGACACGGTTCAGTTCTGGGTAATTTTTATACTTAGGTTCTTCAACATCCTAAAGGTTTCTTTGTAAAACAAATTTGTTATATTAGGATATACAGTTGGATGCAAACAAGAAGTCCAAGAAAGCCAGCTCATTAAGCAGACTGTTTTCTGGGCACAGGAATCAAACGCAGTAAGTTTTCCACGACCCACGTGTGCCTTGTCTCCGCCCAGTTTTCTGCCCTTGCGGGGCTTCCTCAGCCTGCCTGTTCATTCCATTAGCCAGCTGGTAGGTGCTTAAGGAATGTGAACGGATGATAATAGCAGCTGAAATAGAAGCCAAGTGGGAAGGCAAATCTGGTGCAAAATCATCTTAAAATCCAAAGTCGAGCCAATTAGTTTGAGTTATCTGGGTCTGTGTTTCTTTTTACTCACATAAATCAACCGAGAGTTAACGAACACCATCGGTCTACAGCAAGGGGAGCGAGAAAACCAAGGCAACTGAAATCAAACAACAGAGATTTGAGAGTTGGCAAATTAAATAATGGAGAACA